AAGAACACTGTTGCTCTTGCTGAGGACCTGGGTTCAGTTCCCACTATCCCATTATGGCTTCAGGGGGCCCCCTTCAGGCCTCTGTGGGTACTGCACACATGTGACATGCATTTACACATGAACACAAAATATTCATACACTTAAGGTAAGGTGGGTTTTTTTGTTGTTGTTGTTTTGTTTTGTTTTGTTTTTTTGAGACAGACAGGGTTTCTCTGTAGCTTTGAAGACTGTCCTGGAACTAGCTATTGTAGACCAGACTGGCCTCAAAATCACAGAGATCCGCCTGCCTCTGCCTCCCAAGTGCTGGGATTAAAGGCATGTGCCACCACCACCCAGCTTAGTAAAAGATTTTTTTAAGGAAGGGGAGAGAAGGAAGGAGAAACAGAGGGAAGAGGTTTGCACTCCAGGCCTATGTGAATCTGTCGTCACCTTTTCCGCCCCTCTTCTCCTATCAGTGAAGCACAATGATAAAAGGCACCGCCTTGCAGTAAGGATCCCAAGGTCCGAAGCAAAGGGTACACTCAAGGATAAGAGCCGTACCTGCATTTACTGTAATTAACAGCCTGGCTCTCCCGCCTGTGAGTCCCAGGCAATTGTTCTTTCTCTCTGAGCTAGAATGCCAGCTGCAGAATGCAGAGGGGAACACGTCCAGTTCTACCCAGACCAGTCACAGAGTGCACCGGGTCAAAGCCCCACTCTTGGGCCTGACCTTCAGGGATGGCAGCAAAGGGACACGTGGGGGCTGATGCTAGGAGGAAAACAAGCAGAATTTGTAAGATGAGGCCCACAGAGGAAGGCTACTGCACGCTGCACACCTGAGGGAGACCATCAGGGCGGGTGGGAGAAAGCTGGTCCTGGGGATAGCCAGCACTCAAGCGGTGTGGCGGTGACTATGGCCAGACTATCTACACTCAGCTCAATGAATTGCTTTTTTGGTTTTTCAGCTTTGTTTTGTTGTTGTTGCTGCTGTTTTGTTTTGTGTTTTTTGTTTTGTTTTGTTTTTTTTGAGACAGGGTTTCTCTGTGTAGCCCTGGCCATCCTGGAACTCATGCTGTAGACCAGGCTGGCCTCGAACTCATATATTCACCTGCCTCTGCCTCCCAAGTGCTGGGACTAAAGGTGTGTGCCCTCATCACCCAGTATCAGTGAGTTCCAGTTTCCCAGGAAGCTCTGCAGGCAAATGAATGCCTAAAAAGATAGGGTTAGCGACAAAAGTCATGGCTGGGCAAACAGCTCGGATTCCACTGACCCTTCTCTCCGTTTGCCCTGCCACCAAGGGTAAAGGGCCCCTTGGTTCTCTCCTGGGGAGGACATCTGCCTAGGCCAGAAGCCAGGTGTTTCCTCCCCTCCTTTTATTCCACATGTATCTACTGTGCACCTCCAAGGTACCAGCCCCAGTTTCTTGTGAATCTAAAATCTCTACCCTCCTCAAATACACAAGTTAGTTGGAGGACCCCTTCTAGCTTCTGTGGGGGAGTAACTCGTTTTCTGTCCCTCAGGGCTCCTGCTGGACATGACCAACAACTTCAAGTCCATTTTCTACGCCTCAAGCTTCTTGCTCATCTCAGCCTCCCTCTTCATCGGCGGGGGCTTCTACGCCGAGGAGAAGAAGAAGAAGCTGAAGCAAAATGGGCAAGCCAAGGTGGAAGATGCCATCTCAGAGTCTGCCCCAATGCAGGGTCTTAGCTCGGAAGACAAGGACGGCGCCAGGAAGCAACTGTGCCCTGAAAGCATATGCTACGTGACTAGTGTCTAAACACCAGAGGTCACATGCGACCTGCCTCCGAGCTGAGCTCTGGGGTCCGTGAGAGACCTTCCTCCCAGGAAGCAGAGTGTAGAAATGGGCCTTCCTGGCCTTCTTCCTTGGGTCCCAAGAAGACGGATCTGAGTCCTACGTGAGCAGCTATGCCTGGCTCATCTGCGCTGTCTCTCACAGTTGCTCCTACCTGACATCCTAGGTCTTCCCACCCAGCCTTCCTGTGTCAACTCTCTTCGTCCTCCCTGGCCTCCAGAGAATTCGGAAGAATTCTCCTTTCTTCCAAGAACTTTCTCCTCCTCTCTTCCCAAATAATCAGCCCTGACCCCTTAGGTCAGGAAGATTAAGGGAGTTGCTTCAAGAGGTGGAGCCTCACGTTGACTGGAGCCATAAGAGAGGCAGAGATGGAGGGCCAGGATGAGAAGTGGGCCTCAATACAGGATGGGGACAAAGTGGCTGTTTGGTGGCGCTCTGGTCCTGATACCTCTGGAGAGGACAGGAGAGGAAACTGCTGTCCTGTAGGGCTCCTCCTGCTTGGGTCGTCTCAGAATTTATGAAGTCTGAGGAGTCTCTGCCATCAAGCAGGGCCTGAACCAGCATCTTCTCTTTTACCCCACTCTGTATCCACATAGGGAAAGGCAGACATTTGGCTGACCGAGAGGCAGGAAGGCTGGCCGGCTAGGCAGCCTACGGAACACTGTAAAACTGGGCTTGAGCAAACAGTAGCCTGTGCTCTGCTCTTGGCCTTCTGAAGTTCCCCTTTCTTGGGGATGTGTTGGAGGTATCAACCCCGAGGCAGTCGCGGGCTAAATCAGCCACAGTTGTTGCTAGCCTGACCCCGAGGCCTGGAGTTATGCCCACGTACACACTTCTGTGCTGCCCTCTGAGGTCAGCACACAGGGCTGTCTGTCATCAGCCCAGGCTTGTTCCAGCAGGGCACTCCAGGGAATGGGAAAACAGACTGTTTGAATTATACACAAAAACATTCCCTGCAGGCAGCGGGTCATAAACTCTGAACTAATAAAGAGGAAAACAGGCCTGAGTAAATTTCCTCTGCTCTCCCAGCTTGGCAGAAACTTCTTGGTCTTGTTTGTTGGTTCAAGCTCAACCAGGCTCCAGCGAGAAAACCTTATCAGGAAAAATGATTTTATTTTCATGGCTGTCGCCAGCTTTCCTCCTCCACATATCCATCTGGCATGAATAAGCATCTTTAGGACTAGCCTAGCTCCTCAAGATGCTGTCGCGAGTGCCCCCTCATGGCCAAAAGCAGTACTGCAGCGGTGCACTCGCTTCGTGGTCACTATCTCTAGACCTTGGATGGAGGTGGTAAAGGTGCTTACTGCCAAGCCTGGCAATTTGGGGTTGATCCCAGGGACCCGCGTGGTGGTAGGAGAGGTCCCACTACCACAAGTCATTCTCTGGTCTCCGCAGGTACACTTGTGGCACGCACACACAAAAATAAATACACATAAAAATAATTTTAAAAAAAGTTTGGCCTGTATGAGATTATGTCACAGTCAGACTGAAAAGTCTGCCTCTGTGTCTAACCACCCCTGCTTTCCTGATCCCTACTTGGTCCTGAGCTTGGCCACCAGGCATAGCTTGTGCTCAGAACGGAAAATGCCAGGACCTGTTTTTCCACCCTAATGGAAAATGGAGTTGGGGCTGGCTAACAGGTCCACTTCCAGGAGACAGTAAAGGAAAGGTATCCACGACCTCCCGCTAGGAAACTTTCATCTCACTTGCCCATTGGTAATAATGGCAACAATCCAAGGGCAACAAGCAAACAAGAAATGAGAATAGGAATGTAGCTTAGAATGGAAGTGTGCACCAGTCTCTAGGTTCAATCTCCAGCCTCAGCTAAGCCTAGAAGTGTGTGTTGTAACCCCAGCACTCAGAAGGTAGAGGCAGGAGGATGAGATATTCTTAGCTACATAGTAAGTTCAAAAGAAGAAATCTCTAGCTGGGTGGTAGTGGCGCACACCTTTAATCCCAGCACTCCGGAGGCAGAGGCAGGCAGATCTCTGTGAGTTCGAGGCCAGCATGATCAACAGAGCAAGTCCCGGGACAGGCTGCAAAGCTACAGAAAAACCCGGTCTCGAAAAACAAAAAAACAAAAAAGAAAGAAATCTCTGGGCGAAATTCCTTAACAAGTATTTATTGAGCATCTACTGTGTTCCAGGGACTAGACAGAGAATGAATCCAAGTCACTCTGCCTTCAGCACAAATCCAAAGGCTGAGGTTCTTTCCCAAAGGACCCTGCAAACAAGGGAGACTTGAATGTTTCCAGAACCCACACTTTGCTGATCCCCTCAAAATCTTCTAGGGACAGTCTGAGGCCCTTCCCGGCCACAAAAGGGTGTAACTTGCTTCCCTGTTGTCCCCAAGTTTCTGGCTCCTGGTCCCCAGGTCTTTCTAATCAGACACCAAGGAGACTCCTGGCCTTCTTGAGCTGAGATGTACTTCACCAGGCTAGACAGGCTCCACAAAAACCACTGGGCCCAGAGTTTTCACGGGGCAGCCTCAGTACTTAAGCACCCAGACCAGGGCAAAACTCTTGTTCCAGGTTGGTACTGGGCAGGGATTAACCACAGCCTTGAACCCTAGACGTGGGGGCCAGGAAAAGGTAAAGTACATAACCCATTCTGCTATAACCCAGGACCCTGGTACCAAACAGAACTAAGTACCTGATCCCTGACCCTTGCCCTAAAAAAAAACTTTCTGCCTGCATCCTCCACCTCCATGGCGACAGCATGGCAAAGCTCCCTCCCGCCCTGATGCTCCTTGGGACCCTTAGATCTTGTTTTGGTTTGAGGGGTGTTTTGTTTTGTAGGCAGGGTCTTTCCATGTAGCCCTAGCTTGCCTTGAACTCTGGCTGTTCTCAAATTCATAGAGGTCCTCCAGCCTCTTCCTCCGAGTGCTGGGGTTAAAGTACCACCATGCCTAGATAACCATAAAGTCCTTCAGTCAGTCAGTTCCATCCATCTTTCCCTCCCTTCCTTCCCTTCCCTCCTCCCCGCCTTCCCTCCTCCCCTCCTCCCCGCCTTCCCCTCCCCTTCCCTCCTCCCTCCCTCTCCGTATCCCCCCGCCGCTGCGCTGCTGACTCCTAAAAGCCTAGAGCTTGCGAAATCGCTGGGGAAGCCCAGCAGGCGCTTAGTAACCACGCCCAATCCTTTCTGGTCCTGCCCCTTCCGCTCCCTGGGCCGGGACTAGAGCGATTTCCGCCCTGAGCCCGGAAGCGGTGTGGAGAGCGAGGTGAGGGGTGTGTCTATGGTATCCAATCCTTGCCCGGCTCTGCCAGGATCCTGAGATCCCTACCCATCCCCAGATCCCATCTCCAGCTGCAAATCACTGCAGATTCAAACCCAGGACCGGACCGGGTTTGCCTGCCGCTCTGTCGCCCCCGGGACAGATCAGGGTCCAGGCGAGGGTTTTGCGCGACCTTGTGGCCTCTTCCTTCCCACCCGTCCTCCCGGCTCCTTCGCCGCTCCAGCCATGGCACAGAAACCCAAGGTAGACCCCCACGTCGGGCGGCTAGGGTACCTGCAGGCGCTGGTCAATGAGTTCCAGGAGACCGAGAGCCAAGGTGAGAGGTGTGGGGTGGGCGCGAGGGACCGGGCTGGGCTCCGATGGCAGCAGCCGCACGGGCCCAACCCCGGGACCGCTTTCCCATTGCAGATGCCAAGGAACAAGTCCTTGCCAACCTCGCTAACTTCGCCTATGACCCGGGCAACTACGAGTATCTGCGGCAGCTGCAAGTCCTAGACCTATTCCTCGATTCGCTGTCAGAAGAAAACGAAACGCTAGTGAAATTTGCTATTGGTAAGGGTTAGGCCGGCCCCTAGATATGGACTAGAGCGACATCAGAGACTTAGAAGTGAGTCCTTCAGCCAGGCGTGATGGCAGTCGCCTGTAAACCCAGTATTATGAGAGACTGAGGCAGGAGCATTGCTGTGACTCGGAGGCCAGCCTGGGATATAGAATAAGTCACTGTCACGAAACAAGCTAGTCTTTAGGCTAGGAATCTCTTCTGCCAGGGCAGACCTCCCAAATATGTGTGCCACTGCCTCCCCCACATAACAGGTCTGGGAGTCACTGCCAGCTCTTTGTGTCTTTGCTTCCTCTTAGAAAAGAGATAACGAGGGGGCTGGAGAGATGGCTCAGAGGTTAAGAGCACTGTCTGCTCTTCCAGAGGTCCTGAGTTCAATTCCCAGCAACCACATGGTGGCTCACAACCATCTGTGATGAAATCTGGTGCCCTCTTCTGGTGTGCAGGCAGACATGCAGGCAGAATGCTGTATGCACAATAAATAAATTTAAAAAAAAAAAAGAAGAGATAATGAGCAAGGAAGCAAGTTGAAACTGCTTTGGAAGGCGGTTGGAGCTTGCTCTTGCTTATTAAGAGGCGCGCAAAGGTGACCTAGGACCCCTGGGGTTAGATGATAGTAAGACCGTTCGAATTAGACTTGGTAGATTTGTTTTTCACTTTGTGTGTGTGTGTGTGTGTATGGGTAAGTATGGGTATGTACACCACAGCAAATGCATGAAAGTCAGGAAAGTTTTTCAAAAGTCAGTTTCCACTGGGTATGGTGGCACATGCCTTTTATCCCAGAAGAGGTAGGTGGATGTCTATGAGTTCAAGGCCACCCTAGTCTATCTATTAAATTCTAGGTCATCTAGGGTCACATAGTAAGATTCTGTGTCTGAATGAACGAACGAATGATAGTTACTGGTTCTCCGCTTCCGGTTTGCTGAGGTGGGCTCTCTTGTTTCTTCTGTGAGGAGCAGCATCTATAGCCGGCCCATGAACTTCTAGCTGATCCTCCTGTCTCAACCTCTCGTCTCTCCTAAGAGTGCTGGGATTACAGATGCTCAACGCTGCATCTATATATATATTTTTTAATATAGGTTCCTGGTATGGACCTCAGGTTGTCAGCTGTGCAGGGCAGCTCTTTTACCCACTGAGCCATCTCCTCTGCCCAGTGATAGATAAAAAAGGTGCTGGTCCCAGTTCTGGAGAGACTGTGAACAGTTTGGGGAAAAGCCTTTGCCCTGAAGGAGTTCGTGTTCTAGAAGGGGGAGATAGGTGCCAACAAACAAGCCAGATGGAGCGGTAGGAAGCTGCGTAACTTCAGCTTTGGCCTTCGTGGATGTGCAGTGTGGACAAAGGCCCTAAGCAGGAAGGCGTTAGAAGAGGGGGCAGCAGGTGTATTGGGGCTGCTTTAAGTGAGGAGTCGGATGGGGTGGGGTGGAGTTAGAGCGGTTATATATAACACAGGGACTTTAGATCCAGGCCATGGGAAGAAGTCTAGAATTTAAGAACAAACAAAAATTCTTTTAGCACATACTTTTGTTTGTTTATTTTTGAGGCAAGATTCCTTTGTGTAACAGCTTTGGCTGTCCTGGAATCACTCTGTAGACCAGGCTGGCCTCAAACTATAACAAATCATAAATATAGTTCTGAAGCCTTTAGTCCCAGTACCCGTGGGGCAGAGGCAGGTGGATCTCTGTGAGTTCAAGGCCAGCCTGGTCTACAGAGCAAGTCCCAGGACAGGTTCCAAAACTGCATAGAGAAACCCTGTCTCAAAAAAACAAACAAACAAACAATATATATATATATATATATATATATGTATATATATATATATATGGAGAGAGAGAGAGAGAAAGTTCTGGCATTTTGGGTGGGTGGAGGCAAGAGAATCAGGAATTTAGGGTGATTTTTCAGCTAAATAACAACTTTGAGGTCCAAGGGGTGGGGGATCTTTGGTAAACATAATTTTGCTATTTATTAAAGACAGTATTTGCATACTAGCAAGATGGATTGTTTGTTCATTTTTCACATAATCAAACCTGGCTGAATGTTTGGTACTGTGGGACATAGAACATCCTCAGTGTTTGTCAGAGTTTAACAGCTTTGTAAGGTCAGTGCTGAAAACTCAGATTTACAGAAACACACAGTAACAGATGGTAGGTGTATGTTTAGGGCTGGGACTAAAGCTGTGTATACCATGCCCAGCTGACCAGCGCTCTGGAGGCAGAGGCCAGCTAGGGTCTACATAGGGAGACCTTGTCTTCAGAAACAACAAACCCTACAAACATACTGATCTTTAGATGTGTTCTCAGGTACCTCCATTTGTGCCTCTGCCCCACTGCTGTTGCCCTGTGAATGGTGACAGTGGCCAGTTTCTTTTCCTGAGCTCTTCTCTTATGCCTGTCCACCTTCCCCTGGTCTAAGTCTCTAGTGTCAAGTACAGCTCCAGCTCGCAGCCTTAAATCTCTGGGACTCTGCAGATTAAATTGCTCTTGTATTTACCGTATGCAGCTGAAAAGGAGAGTCCCAGTGGGACCTAGAAGCAGATTCAGTGGCTCATCATTTCCCTTCCTTGGATCACCTCTGGCGCTAGAGGGGAACCCTGCCACACCCCTGCCCCGCTACCAAGAGCACTGTGTCCACCTCGGAGTGTCTAGCCTTTGTCCCTGATCTAATGGGGACACTGAGGTGATCTCCCTGGGAAGCAAGCCTGGCTCAGCTTATCTCTGCAGTTCAAGGGTGTGCAGGTCTTTTGGCCTGGGTGGAAGGTGGAAGGAGAGTCAAGAGGCAGATTCGGAAGAGAGTCTTCAAAGGATGTAGTCCCAGCCGTGACTGCCACAGAGGCCTCATGAGGGACTGTTTGGTTCTGAAGTAGCCAGGCAAGAGACAAGCCAGGTCAGATTGCCCTGGGCCAAGTCTTGCAGAACCCAAACCAGCATCTGTCTGTTGGCAAACAGAGTGAGTTTTGATATGAAGGAGCTGGGCTGGGGGATCAGACTGGTTTGGATTCAGTTACCATCTCCTGTGTGATTTCCCTCGGTCACCTGTCAGAGGGAAATTGTAAGTAGCTACTCGTCAGGGTCTTTGCCTGCCACTACAGGGTCCCCTAGGCCTCTGCCCATGGACCTGAATCCAGATCACTTTTGAGCTACGATGTCTCTTCTCCCAGGTGGGATGGAACAATATCCCATCAAGGAACCACCCTTCTGCTCAGGGATTCTCACCCTCTAGAAAAGCAGGGACAGTAGGTGTGTGGATCCTCAGCCTCACAGCGGATACCTAGGCAGGGTTAAGTGGAGAAAGCCTAGCGTCAAGCATGCTGGTTATACCTGCCCTAGCTCCCGGGCCATAGCTGTCTGCTCCTGCAGCACTAGCGTGCGGTGGGGGGGTGAGGTCAGTGTGGGCCTGCTCTCCTTCCTGGTGTTGCCGCTCACCCTGGAGATAATGCTTGTTGTCAGCAGCTAGGAGCTGCAGTGGGACCCTGTTGCAGTGGGACTTGGGCTGGTGGCCTGACTGACCTCTTCCCAGATACATCTGTGTCCTTGGAGAAATGAGATCTTCCACAATGGGTCAAAGTGTGGGCGTCAGAGGTGGGGGCTTAAAAACAACAGCACACGTCCGAGATGTGGTGCGGGTGAGATGATTTTATGGTTTTTGAAGTTACATTGCATAAAGAATCTCCCTTACAAACCAGGTTCAAAGATTCAGTAAAGTTTAAGGGCCAGGTTTAAAACTTAAGTGGAGGGGCTGGAGAGCTGGCTCAGTAGTTAAGAACACTGGCTCCATTTCCAAAGGTCCTGAGTTGAATTCCCATCAACCACATGATGGCTCATAACCATCTGTAATGAGCTCTGGTGCTCTCTTCTGGCCTGCAGGCATAAATGCAGACAGAATACTGTGTACGTAATAAATAAGTTTCTTTTTAATGGAAGTGGAAAGGACCAATGAGATGGCCCGTGGGGAAAGGTGTTTGCTGTCTGGCCACTTTTCAGTCCCCAGGACACACACTGTAGGCGAGAACTGATCCCCAAGTCGTCCTCTCTGGCTCTGAGACAGGAGCCTGAGATCTGGGGGCGCCACTGGTTGCAGTTATCCGCCAACTGTGTAGTGCCCCGAACGCCACAGTAGCCTCTTGTCAACATAGCCAGGTCCAGCTGTCAGTTCCAGGGAAGAGTGAGGTGGGATTGCCCTGTGTCGAGCAAGTGGGACGAAACCCTTCTCACAGATCAGGAAACCTCTCCTCAGCACGGCTGACTCCCACTAGTTGTGACATTAGAGCTGGTGTTAGCCTCGCCTTCAAGGATCTGAGCTCTGCAGAAGGGACCCAGCAGGCAGAACCCAAGCTCAACTCCAGGACCTCATCTCCCCTGCTTTTGTTGCTATGACACTGCCCCCTCTGCCACAGTTAGGAGTTAGTGCTAGTGTGAAGGCGTACCGTACTGCTGCACCTGGTGCTACATTTAGTCACAGAGGAACAGCCAGAAGCAGGCAGATCTCTGAGTTCAAGGCCAGCCTGGTCTACAGGGTAAGATCCAGAACAGCCAGGGTTACACTGCAAAACCCTTTCTGAAAAGAAAAAAAAAGCTGCCCATGATTGCGACTGTGGATGAATTATGGGGCGCCAGCTACAAAGCTAGACCCCTGCACACACTCATTAATGAACAAAAGAGCTGAGCTGCAGCCCCGGCTAAGAACATCCTGTGCATCTCTCTCATCCCAGAAGCGGTGGATACAGAGCAACGTAATAAGTACCTTGCTTCTGTGAAAACCGTTGGTTCTCAGAACAGCACCGGGTACTTGGCAGTTTTAAAGCTAGATTAAACAAGTGGCCTCTACCCAGGCGGTGGTGACGCACGTCTTTAATCCCAGCACTCCGGAGGTGGAGGTAGGTGGATCTCTGAGAGTTTGAGGCCAGCCTGGTCTACATATACAGAGTTCCATGGCAGCCAGGGCTACATACAGAGAAACACTATCTAGAACCCCTGTCCCCCATCCCCGCCCCACCAAAAAAAATGACCTGAGAATTCAGGTTAAATTGCCTTCTTGTATCTTGCAATGCATAACGATGCCACCAGGTGGTAGTAGTGCTCAAAGGCTGCCTACAGTGTCTTTGGAAAGCAACAGTGTGTTTCTCTTTAGATTTAATTAGATGTCTTTGGCATTGGAAAGAACTTTTCCTTTCAAGAAAAGTACAGGCGGAGTGCAGTGGCTTGCATGCACAGTCTCATCTTTCTGTGGTTCCTGTCCTTAGACTTGGGCCACCACGCAGATACCACGATCGGTTTTATATTTTTTTGAATGAAGGAAGGGCTTACTATGTTGTCCAGGCTTCCCCTGGGCTCCTGAGCTTGAGTGATCCTCCTTCCTCAGCTGCCCTAGTAGTGAAGATTGTGAGTGTTTGCCACCTCACCCTACTCCACCGGCTATGCCAGCCTTGTGCCCTGATGTGGGCAAGGTCTTAAGTGGAGGGAACCTCTTGGCCCTCCTCAGGGAGAGCTCACCCAGTCAGGAGGTGCCCAGTGCCGATGGAGCCTTGTCTATGTCACCTCTTTAAATCCCCAGGAAAATCCTGAGAGCCCCTCCCAGCACCAGTGCCTCCTCTGTGACTCCAGGCCACCAGCTTCTCCCAGTCCAGCCCTCCATCCCAGGTTCTCCTCGGCATTTCCTCTCCAGCCTCTTGGGGTTTCTATGGTTTCTGGTGTCCAGCGGAGCCTTCATCTCTTGCCTCGAGCTGTTTTTTTCAGCCTTTGTCTGTCTAAAGTAAATTCTTCAGCTAGTCAGGACTTGCCTTTCTCTCATCTTTCTTTTTGATGGTGCTGGGAATGAACCAGGAACCTAGGCGAGCACTCCACCACCAAGCCACACCCCAGCCCCGCCCCTTTCTGTTTCGTGACTGCCTTGTAAGTGCAGTGTGGAGAGTGTACAGTGAGATGCACTGAATGGCAGGCAGTTTAATTAATCCTTAAGTTCATTAAGGTATGTGCCCCTACATGTACCGGCTCCTCTGTCGAGATGTGGCTTGTTTCCCCCATGTGCCCCGTGCAGGCGTAGCTCTGACCTCTGTTTCAATGGCTTGCTTTTACCTGGTCTAGCTCTTTATATGAGTGAGATCATACAAGATCCATCCTAAATCTGGTTTCTTAATTAAAAAAAAAAAAAAGAGGGTTGTAGGGAGGCATGGTGGCACAGGACTTTACTGCCAGCATTTGGGAGGCAAAGGAAGATGAGTCTCTGTGAGTTCAATGCCAGCCTGATCTACATAGCAAGTTCTAGACCAGCCAGAGCTATACTGTAAGACTCTATCACCTATGCTCGTGGCACACAAACACACACACACACACACACTAATTAATTCTTTCTATGTGTGCATTCATGGGTGTGGAGGCCAGAGGTTAAGGGTCTTCCTTTGTGGCTGTCACCAACTCTGGAGCTCACCACACACACACACACACACACACACACTCCTGGTCTCTCCTCTCTCTGCCCCTATGAAGAGGTTTCAGACCCACACGATCATGTCTGACTTTCTGCGGTGCTCAGGTGCTCATCTTGCGTGATAAGTACCATCTCCCCAACTCCAGCATTGATTTCCTTTACCTTTAGGACTTCAGAAGATTTTATTTCATGTATGTGTATGTGTGTGGTAGGGGTGCAGGTGGGGTAGGTCCATGTGGACACAGAAGAGGACGTCGGGTAATCAGGCAATATGGGGCTGAGTTAGAAGTGATTGTGAGCTGTTTTATATGGGAGCTGGGAACTGGACCCAAGTCTTCAGCAAGAGCAGTGTGTGGTTTTCTCTCCAGTCTTTGTTTTTTTTTTTTTATTTCTTTGTTTCTGTTTTGTTTTTAATTTATTTTTATTTTATGTGCGTTGGTGTTTTGCCTGCATGTAAGTCTGTGTGAGGGTGTTGGATCCTGGAGTTACAGACAGTTGTGAGCTACCATGTAGGTGCTGGGAATTGAACCTGGGTCCCCTGGAAGAGCAGTCAGTGCTCTTAAGGACTGTGTGGTCTCTCCAGCCCAAGAAGGCTGGAGAGGGGAAGCCTGGGCAGAGCCTGTCCTCCAGTTCCAAGGAACACAGGCTGCTTCCACCTTTTTTTTTCTTCCAGCTGTCCTGGAACTCATTCTGTAGACCAGCCTGGCCTCGAACTCAGCTTGGTTCTTTTTTTTTTTTTTTTTTTTAGTTTTTCGAGACAGGGTTTCTCTGTAGCTTTGGAGCCTGTCCTGGCACTAGCTCTTGTAGACCAGGCTGGCCTCGAACTCACAGAGATCCACCTGCCTCTGCCTCCCGAGTGCTGGGATTAAAGGCGTGCGCCACCACCGCCCGGCAGCTTGGTTCTTTTTTATGGTGGGCAGCTGTTAGTTTGTTTGAGACAGGGTTTCTCCATGTAGCCCTCTCTGTAGCTGGCCTCAGAGTCAGAGTGCTGGGCTTAAAAGTGTATGCCACCATTGCCCAGCTCTGTAGCCCTTCACAGCGGGCAGACTCAGGGTCATGGACTAGGCAGGGGCTCTGGTGGGTCATGTGGGGCCATCTCGGTGCCCCAGCCCAGTCTGTGGTCTCAGAAGCTCTCAGCCATTCTCCTGGGCCTTCACCCTCCTCTTCATCTTCAAGAGATGCTGCCAGCTAGGCAGAGGGGCCTAGCGCCCTGATGGCCGGAAGCTGAGTAAGCGCAAACAGGAAGCCATCTTCCTGCACCGAGGAGCCGAAGCTAAGCAGTGTTTGTCTGTAAAAGTTAGCATCTGTCCCCACGGCCAAGAGGTCATTAGGTCAGGGGACCTACCCTGAGAACGGAAGAAGGGGTCCTGGTTCTTGTTTTTATATCAGTGTTTTTTGTCTGTGTACGTACATGCGCTACATGCATGCCTGGTGTCTATAGAGACAAGAGGGCATTGGAGCCCCTGGAATTGGTCACAGGTGGTTGTGAGCCACCATGTGGGTGCTGGGAACTGAACACGGGTTCTCAGGAAGAGCTGTCAACACTCTTAACCTCTGAGCCATCTCTTGATAGTTTTATTTATTTGTTTGTTTGTTTATTTATTATTTTACATGCTGGCCGCAGTTTCTCCTCCCTCCTCTCCTCCCAGTCCTTCCCTGCTCTTGACAGTTTTTTTTAATCCAGAGTCACTGGTCTCTCACTCTGAACATTCCTCCTCTCCTCTCTAGTCACAGCGAGGCATGGTGTTGTGTCTGCTTCACTTAGGGCTGATAGAGCAGGCTGGACTTTGAAGCCTTGAGAAGTCTGGGCTTGGGTGACCTTGCAGTCCTTGTCCTTGGGCAAACTTTCCCCAGGCCTGGGCACTCCCCCAGGCTCACTGGCCAGAGGTGCTGGGAGGAGAGATGAGAGAGCCAGGACCACAGCACCCGGGCTCAACCTTGCCTTTCTCCAGGGGGCCTCTGCAACCTGTCCCCGGACAAGGCCAACAAGGAGCACATTCTGCAGGCCGGAGGCATCCCGCTCATCACCAACTGCCTGTCCAGTCCCAACGAGGAGACGGTGTTATCTGCAGTCACCACACTCATGTACCTAAGCTCACCCGGCACGGGCTCCCATCCCGAGCTCACCTCCTTGCCCGTGGTCCAGTGCATGCTGCGCTTTTCTCTCTCAGCCAACATACGGCTCCGGAACCTGGCCCAGATCTTCCTGGAGGACTTCTGCTCCCCAAGCCAGGTGGCTGAGGCGCGGAGCCAGCAGGCCCATTCGGCCCTGGGTATCCCACTGCCAAAGACCGAGGCCCCACAGCAGCCCTGATCCAAGAAGACCCCAGGGCTCTGCCACTTTCTGCCTGAGACCAGTCCTGGCATAGGAAGCAGAGACCAATAGCCGTCCATCCTGTCCACGTGATGCCTGTTCGGCTATATGAAAGGTAGGATCTCTGAGCATGACGGGTGTTTATGCTAGGAAAACCAGTAGGGAGGAATGAAGGAGCCAGACCTGAGATGCTTAGAGGAGAGAAACAGCTGGTGTGACTCTCATGGGCTGGCGCTCCCAACAGTGCCGACAGAAGACCAGCTCGGTGCCCCAGGCCCAGCCAACACGCTCCTATAGAAGCTTTGCACAGTGGTGCTCAAGAACAGCTGCTAGAACCAGGACTCGGGAGAGTAGCACGAGTGCCCCGAGGATCTTTGATGGCTAGAGATCAGCTGGCCTTATCCGCTGGGAGGGTGCTGTGGGGCAACCCCTCCAGTACTGAGGCACAGCAGACACTGACTTGGGTAGCTCTGCCGCCCAGAAACAACTGTCCACACAGCCCTGCCTTTTTTCTAGGCACCAAGTGAGGAACACAGATGAGGTCTCTGCCCTTGGGTGTCACACCTCAGTGACTGTTAACCAGGTGGCCATCGGGCATTAGGAGCAAGGCCCTCCAGGAATTAAGAGCAGAATGAAGACAGGACAGCGAAGTGTCCCTTTAGAGAGGCCCTACATAGGGTCCTGGGACACAGATGGAAAGACAGTGACTTCAGCTCCTCTTGTGACCAGGCTGTGGACCCCTCGTGTACCAACTGCCAACTGTGGCATCCCTGACCCTTCAAAAAAGCTGCTCTGCCCCCTCTGCCTGTGACCAGATCTTCTGACGCTGGGGTGGGAGCCCTGCATACGAACCCTTCATGGCCGGGACGAGAGCCTACCCAGGTCCACTACCCAGGTCCGCTACCTGCCGTTGTCCCAGAAGCCACCAACCTCCAGGACCCAGAGAGCACAGCAGCTCAAACCTGTAATCCTATCACTTGAGAGACTGAGGCAGGAGGATAGTCATGAGTTTGAGACCAGCCCCGCAACTTGGGGGACTTGGACAACTTGGGCTATGGAGTAAGATCCTGTCCCAAAAGGAAAAAACAGGGTCCCAATAATGTCTGAAGGACACCAAGATTCTGTCTCCCTCCTGTGCCAGCGAAAAGAAAAAAAATGAGACTAAAGTCCACAGTTGGTACAAGAGGGTAGACCTGATGAGAGGTTGGGGTTCAGGAGAAATGGGGGAGCTTCTGATCTCTCAGCACTGTCCCCCTTAGATGGGGAACGAAAAGCTGTGTTCCAGGAAGGCCATCTGCAAGGATGTGGGAATGAGGCTGTGGATGCGGCCGCTGCAGGAGGGGAGGAAGACTCTCAGAGTTGCCGTTCTCTGCCCCACCCCAGCCCGGCACAGACCCTGGCCTTTCCTAAGACAAGGTCTTCAAAGAACAGATGCCTTGCTTTGGGTTTTTATTTTTATTAAAATCCTCCTAACTGATTTTCTGTGCCAGCCCTGCTCCTTCTGGGTGTAGCCTTCTTGGGAAGGGCCAGATGGCAGTTTGTTCAAGTGAAGGTTCCAGTGGCTTCCTGCGTGGAGAAGTCACCTGTCTGTGCAGGTTCCTGCTGACCCATCCCAGGGTCCTTCACAGGCCAGCTCGCTTGCTGTCAATGATCCCCTTCCAGTTGTCACTCCAGGAAAGCAGCCTTCTCCTGGTGGGGGGCAGGGCCAGGTGCCGATTGTGGCAGCAGGTGAACAGGATGTGCTCCCAGCTTGGGGTCTTCTCCAAGCCTGGGGCAGGAAAGGCAGTTTGGGAACGGTAATCCGGTTATTTGCCCTAATCCCAGCAGGCCAGCTGCCTGGAGGTGATCATGGTTAACTGGCCCAACCTTGAATGGTGTCTTTGTCGTCAATGAGTAGGTCCCCCGTGACCACTGTCTTGTCCCTAGTCAGGATAATCCGCTCCACAAACTGAGGCCCCAGGTTCTGCTCCACCCAGCGGTACTGTATGGGAATATTGGGGGGGAGGGGGTAATAAAAGGCAAATTGGTCAATGGGCTTGCTAGGCTCTAAATGCAGGGTCAGTGAGGCGTTGGGTTAAGTGAAACTAAACCCTCCAAAGTGCGGTACCCCTTCTCCCCAACCCCCACTTTCTGTGCTTTATTTTTAAAAATCAAATTTGGAAAGTTAAATCTGCGCAGGCGCCGGCACCTTCTCGCCCACACAGTGGTCGTACTTCCGCAGTGGGCTGGTGCAGATGAAGACCTCGGTGCTGCAGAGAGAGGGGGCAGTTAGGCCTGGGGAGCTGGCTGACCTCCCGCCGCCCCTTCTCCACCCTCCTTACTCTTGCATGTCGTTCATCTCTCGCAAAGCGTCCACGGCCCCAGGGATGGGCTCCAAGTTCAGGAAAAAGCCTGGAGCTTCATACACACTGGCCAGTTTCTCCTGAAAAAGACAGATCTCGTCCCGCTGCTGCCTTACAGCAGGGGGAGCCCCAGAGAGGACCCACGATAAACAGCCCGAGCCCACGCTGGGGATAGAATACTGGAGGTGGATGGGCGCGCTCGAGCTTTCTGGTTGGGGGTGAACTGTAGACTCAGAAGCTGGGATGCCTGGAATGGAACCCAGGTGGCCCTGCCTAGGGCGAGGAAGCGAGGTTCTCCGCCGGGCCTCCTACCGCCAGGTCCGGCCGCAGGGCTCGATATTGTTCGCTGGCGAGGAAGCCGCGGCGCTGCTCCAGCGGCACGTGCGGCTCCCCGGGGAAGCGGCGGCGGAAACCCTGGAGCAGGCCAGACTCGAAGTCGGCCAGCACGCCGTCCATGTCCACCAGCACGCGCACCGGCCGCCGTACCTCCATGGCCGCGCCCGGGGTCCCCGCCGAGCGGCGCAGCAACGACAGAGGATGACAGTCCCGGAAACAAGCTGCGGGGGCGGGGCCCGAGCCGGCTAATTTACATAGGGTGCACAGCGAGGTGCCCAGGACGGTCCTGCCTCCCTTACTAGGCCACTTCCCCTATGAAATTTCAGTATTCCTCAACCCAGACCTCCCTGAGATCCGAAATACCCTTGCAATGTGGGACCCGCTCCACATGCTGAATGCGTACCCTCTCCCTTGCTTGTGCAGAGTGAAGGTGGGCAGGGAGCACACAGGGACCCCAATTTCCAGATCATGAGGCTCCCAGTTCAAGAAAGGACCATTTAAAGACAACTGTGGACATGAGCTGGGCTCGCAAGAGATGGAGTCCTAAGTCAGAGTTGGTTTCAAAGAGTAGTGTTGATTTCAGGCTAAGTCCATGCCCTTTTCTGTGCAACCAAGGTCTCCACTATAATCAAAAGCCGTTTCCTTCTAGAGAAAATGTTAAACTTCACACACACACACACACACACACACCTGTTTTTGTAGATTTCACAAAGTTCTTGGCGACTCTCACATCGGTTACTAACCAATAAATGCAGATTTGAGTGAGCCCTCTTTAGTGACTCCCTCCACCCACCCACGGGGTTTCTCTGTAGAACTGGCTGCCCTGAAACTCGCACTGTAGATCAGGTCTGCTTTTGCCTCTGAGTGCTGGGATTAAAGGAGGGTGCCACTACACCCCGCTGTCTCCTGACTCCTAAACCATCCTGATAGAAGCATCACAACAGCCGGGCGGTGGTGGCGCACGCCTTTAATCCCAGCACTCGGGAGGCAGAGGCAGGCAGATCAACAAACTAGCCAAGTGTGGTGGAGCCGGTTTTTGATCCCAACATTCCATTCCGGAGGCAGAGGCAGGCAATCTCTGTAAATTCCAAGACAGCCAGCAGGGCGGTGGTGGCCCACGCCTTAATCCCAGCACTCAGGAGGCAGAGGGAGGCAGATCGAGGCCAGCCTGGTCTACAGAGTTCCAGGACAGCCAGGGCTACACAGAGAAACCCTCTCAAAAAGCAAAACAAAATTTTAGAATTCTGTACGTGTATACAATGTATTTTTACCATATTCCCTGTGGACTTCAACACCTCCTGGATCCCCTCCCCCTCTTTTGTGACAGTGTTTTATGCACCCAGGTTTGCCTCAAATTCACTATGTACCTGTTGAGGGAAGGGCTACTTGTTTGGTAGCTTAGACCCGAAATAATCACAAAGAAACCATATTATTTAAATCACTGCTTGGCCCATTAGCTCCAGCTTCTTATTGGCTGACTCTTACATATTAATTTAACCCATCTCCATTAATCTGTGTATCACCACATACCTAAGGCTAATCTTGAACTCCGGATGTTCCTGCTTCCACTTCTCAAGTGCTCGATTAAATGCATGCACGATTTATTCCACATTTTGCGTGTATGCCTGAAGGCCAGAAGAGGGCACCAGACCTCATTACAGATGGTTGTGAGCCACCATGTGGTTGCTGGGTATTGAACTCAGGACCTTTGGAAGAGCACGCAATGCTCTTAACCACTGAGCCATCTCTCCAGCCCCCTCTATTCCACATTTTAAACAAGATTTTGAGTGTTCTGCCCACATGTATGTATATGCGTATATGTACATCACGTGTGCAGTGCCTGCAGAGGCCAGCAGGCTTCAGTTGTGAGCTGCTGTGTGCTGAGAACTGAACCTGAGTCCTCTGTAAAAGCAGTGTGTTCATATGACTTCACAGACTCTTTTCTAACTTAGGGTGCTGAACCCCCTGCAAGTTTCCAGTCCACTATGTTCCCACAATGCTGAGACTGGCAGAACAGCCAGCCACTCCCTTGAAACACCAGTGATAAGACGGGACTAGTAGTGGGCCACTGGACACGGGAACAAGCAGTCTTTACTGCTGAACTCCCTCCAGCTCAATAATCCCAATCCTCAAAGAGGTGCCATGTGGCTCCAAGGTCTCACTTTGGAGTAGAGGCTCCAAAGATGTGGCAAGGTACCCTGGTCTGTCACATAGGTGGATATGTGAACCAGGTCTTTTTACTTATTGTGTATACTGTATTCTGCTTACATGCATGCCTTCAGGCCAGAAGAGGGCACCAGATCTCATTACAGACCATTATGAGCCACCATGTGGTTGGTGCTCTTAACCACTGAGCAATCACTCCAACCCAGGAGCCTGGTCTTAAAGCCAGATTTGGCCACTGCACATGACACCTTGATGGTTGATCTGAAACTTCCTGTTCAAGCCCAGAAAGCTTCTACCTTCTCACTGCAGCCTTGTTTAAGGAGCACCCTGCTGTGGTTCTGACTCTCCCCTTGTAGCCTTCATCATCTGATGTGAGCCATGTGGTTCTCAAGGGAGGTCTGGTCTTTGGAAGTGGGGGTGGGATCATATGCTGGGATAGGATGAGGTGATGGTGACACGGGGCCTCCACACAGAAAAGACTAGCTGCAGAGGTTCAAAGTCAGTGCCTCCGCCGTCCATGCTGGACAGCTGTGGTGGTATACACCTGACTCCAGGTGTGGGAAGCAGGAGACTCAATACCAGTCAGAGCTGGAATGAGAATCTGTTTCAAAAGAAAACTCCACTTCCCTTTGGACTTTCATCACACTGCTCAACTTCAGATGCTTTATGAACCAGTGGACAGGATTATTTCTAGGAAAGTCAAGGCCCAGGAAGGACGTTTAAGGGCCAGAACTGGGTGCAGCTCCGTCCCCAGCACTGCATAAACTAGGTATGCTAGAACATGCCTCTAATACGCATGCGAAGGTGAGTCAGGAGTTCAAGACGAGCTTCACCTGCACAGTGAGACTCTCCCTCTCTCTTTCACACACACAGACACACACTTAAAAAGAAAAAAAAAAAAAAAAAGACAAACCACAGTACTTCAAAAGGTGGATATTGTTTTACTTTAAGCAACAGTCCAGGACCTAGAAGTACAGGTTTCAAGGATGAGACTTTCTTCATGGTCAAGCGTCATGCACATGGCACTGAGTTATTCTATTACGATGTCCCTGTGGGACCCGCGCCTACAGCCCCACTCTGGGACTGCCTCCTTGTGTGCTTCACCTTGGAATTCCAGGCAGCTGATCGTACACCTGAAGCTCCTCTGCACCTGGGTGGCTCTGCCCAGCAGCTAGCTGGTCACAATGACCCTGGCTTCCGTCCTCTTGCAGGCAGCAGGCGTGAGATGCACATCTTTGTATCATTCCACTTGGACAGGAAGGTGCACTTAGCAGAGGACGCGGTGATGGTGGAGCAGACACCAAGGAGCATGCTCCATCGCAGCCCCTGTGGCTGCTGGGTATCCCACCACAGTAAGCCAAGTACAGCATCCAAAACCCTGGTACAAATGCGACGCTAACAACATCAGGAACCAGATCATTTGTTCTTTAAAGACAGTCTACTACTCCAGTCTACTAGAAAACACTCATGCCAGGGCCCACAGACCCAGAAGTCAGACACAAGAAAAAAGAATAGAGAAAGCATGGGGGATTAAAAAAAGACAGCAGTACATAAAGTGCTTCTCTTTTAATGAAACAGATCCAAAAGATGTACAGTTGTGCAGTTCACAAGCATGGAAAAACAAACAAACAGA